ATATTACATACTGAAATTGAAATTGTTGGTTTATATTTTATAATTATTTTACTATACAAATAATAACAAATCCAAAATATCTGATAATATCATCTAATTTAAAATATATTATTGACAACTGAAAAAAAAAAATAGTACATTACATAATTTATAATGAAAATAAATTAATAAATAAAATACAATATTTAGTTATCGATGTAGAAATTATTAGAAGAGTATCAATTTTCGAAATCACACTTTTATTTTTCAAAAATCTAATTTTTTAGGTTTCTAGAATAAATTCAGTGGAAGAGATTGTTAGTAGAGAAAGAGAGAGAGATATTTCAAATGGCCTCATTGTATGAACCCTATTTTTAAATTAATATTCCTAAATTTATGTTAAAGACCACTATGTTATAAAAATAAAAAATATAATTAGACCATTTATTCCTAAGTAAAAAAATAAATAACAATAGGCATTCATATATGAGAGAGAAAAAAAGAGTTGAGAAAAAAAGAGTTAACATACTTCAAGCCTATATTGTATTACCTTTACATATCTAATTTACGCTTATGATAATCGCAGCTCAAATGTGGGCTTGAAAAGCATGATACTTGTTGTATTGCCTTTTATTTATTTTTTGACAATAAATACTTGTTGTATTACCTTTTATTTATTTTTTTTACAATAAGGTAACTTTTATTTTATTTTTTTATACTTGTTGTATTACCTTTTATTTATTTTTTGACAATAAATACTTGTTGTATTACTTTTTTTTTTTTTTTTACAATCAATACTTAATGGTGCCTCCAAGGTTCGAACTAGGAACATTTTGTGTACCAGACGGACGTGATAACCAACTACACCACAGCCCCACTTGTTGTCCTACTTTTTATAATAAAAGGCTATATAGTATTACCTTTTCAAGCCTAAGTACCATGCTCAAATCCCCCATCGAAAAAATAAGAGAAGTTTTACATCAATAAAACCCTCCTCAGTACCGTGTTTCATCACATGCTTGGAAAGCATGATCAAGCATGTGGCTGACAGAGGCACACGTGGCCATACTTGTACAATGCCGTAATTATCCCCTTTTTAAAAGAAAATTACAAAAATGCCCTCCAACACGGCCACGTCATAATCCGTTTCATGACGTCAAAATCGCGTGACTCGCCCGGTTCCTTTCTAAACATGGGCAGTTTCCTATTTTGAGCTAGAATCGATAAGGGGTGACCGATTCCCATGTCGAATCGCCCGAATCTGTGTTGACTCAGCGCTTTTTAAACCACTGGTTGAAAGTAGTTAGAAAAAATATAAAGACTAATGGTCTCACTGAGCGTATGACCCTTAGCAGAGCAGAATGACCGACTATGATTCGTGTAGACCAACCCTAATTAGTTGGAAAAAGGCTCAGACGACGAAGACCTAACAAGTTTACATATTAGATAGTACCTAAGTTTATAAGATAGTCTTAATCAAGCAGACACAGTGAATCCTGCTTCCCAAATAATAATGCTTTTAATCAAGTCCTACATGGATCTTCTAATGTTAAACAAATTGCAGGCAACGATGGCATTCACTTCCTATCATAGCAGTTGGTTTGTGGGAATTAGTTTGTGCAATGAAAGAGGGCCTGTGGAGCATTCTGGCTTATAAGCAGTAAATAGAAACACTGTGAAAGAATTATGCACATTCAAACTTCAATTAACATAGTTGTCCAATGAGTAGGCGCGTGATCATATATAGAAGCCTTAAGGTTTGTATGATCTTAAAGTTGCCTAAGTAAAACGAAATAAAGTGACAAATGCACACCTTCACAATAGGTATAACCATCTCCATGATACTGAACACCATTCATCACAGGGCATTCACAGACACGACCCCTGAAAGTGTCCTACTCCAGACACAATTAACCAAAAGATAAGATACTGGTGATATTACATTCTTCCAGCAAACAAAGACAAATTGATTAAGAAAAACAATTCACATTGACCCACAATAATCAACTATAAGAATAGGCCAATGGCACGAGGAATACCTTTTAAAACCCAAAAAGCGTTTTTGGTATTTTAAAAGAATCCAGAGATTGAAAATCCTTAGAAATACTGCTGGGTCATTTTGTAGAGTAACCTCATGAAGCAGCAGTGACCAGTGAATAAGAAAAAACAGTTCTTACTCAGCATCACATATTAAAATAAATTCACTTTGTTTTGATCAGAATACCTTGCAGGCACTTATGTTAGCTTTTGTGTCTTGCCAACAGCCCCCATTTCTTTCAAGGCACTCATTGGTCTCTATATCTGCAACATCAAAATAGACAGCAAACAGAATGAGAAATTTATGTGCATTGATGCTTAAAAAACATAACTGAAAAGGCATAGGATGCAACCTCCACTTAAACAAACTGGTGGATCTGTAGTCTCCTTAAACCCAGCACATATAGCCTTCAACACAGCTGTCCTCTCAAGTTTCCCTGAATAATACCAAGGATTACAACCTCATAAATGATTGACAAGCAAAAGATTCCAATCAGGATATCTGAAAATGCATAGTTTTCAGTAATGTACAAAGCCATCCAGTTAATCAATCCAAGGATACCCTGGAAATAGATGAATGCACCAGCTACTACCATATCGAATCAGTCCAAAGTTTGAAAAAGAAAGCTGTAAAACTGGCAGTCATGTGTATAATCGAATAAACAACTTGTCGTTTAAATTGCTCGACAAGTAAAAACAAGAACCCAAATTTAGCAGTATACCTCGATACTGTACGTTGTTAATTACAAGAGTTGGCAAGATGGTGATGTCACCGCGAGATCCCCGCCCAACCTGCATACTCCATTGGATAATACACAGTAAACAACATGAACCTAATTATCAAAACATGCACTCATCAAGAGTCAATGAGAAATGGTTAAGAGACCTGAAGATCTTGCTCAGCTTTCAACACTGGATTCTCTGCATCAGCATCTGTATCTCCCATACATTTCCTAATATTTTCGACAGCCAACCCTGGTTGCAGAAGATCACAAAGAAAAAAGAAACAACTTTTATTCTGGTGACAAGATACACACACACACACACACACACATATATGCATATATACATATATACACACATATATACACACACACATATATGTATATATATACATATATATACATATATATAAATATATATTAGGAAAACTAGGAGGCAGGCATGAGTTTTGTTGGTTAAAGGGTCAACATTGGCAACACTACATCCCTGTTCAAACCCTACCGCTGAACTACCCAAAAAGAATAATGAAAAAGTATACCGTAATCCAAATAATTATGGAAAATTACAGTCTGTTTGGGTGATGACTATCTGAAAAAAATAATGGATTGTGGTCATGGAGAGACAATGGGAAACATTGAAAGGAGAAAAGGCATGGGGGTTCCCACTTTCTCCATCACTGTCAGGTTGTCACGACTGCAACAGACTATGGTTTCCTGTGGTTTAAGTGATGTATAATGTCGATATTGTGACAAAGCAACAGAACAAACATAGAGAGGCCATGGTTCTGCATTGGCATACACTCTCAGAGATTCAATATAGCCTCTCTCTTATCACCATCCATCATTTCATCCGACAGTCACCACCTAATGGAATATGGCTTTTCCTTGTCCAGTTGAAAACAATAAAGTTACCCAAAAAGAACATTATACAATAAACCACAAGTAACCAAGACCAAACTTCTACAGTGCCCCTACACTCACCAAGAGATTCGATCACATCCTCAGCACATTGCCCATTGTACATCTTATCCTTCATGGAGCACCGAATGTGGAAATCGGTTACATAATCCCACCAAACCCAAGGTCTCCCACTTTCATTAGCAACCCTATGCACACACAATTGCCTCAAGTTCTCCACCACCACATCCTTCCCATCATAACCTACGCTGAAATCCTGCTCAGGATCTGGAGCACAATACCTTCCATGGTTTATGCACTGAGACTTACATTGCTTACTAAGTAGAAAGGCCTCGGGGCAGAACCATGTAATGTAATGCGGTGTAAAAAGAGTGTATCCCCTTTTCTCGAGAACTTGAGCATGGCCTCTAAATTCCTTAACAAACTTCATTTGCTCATCACATCGAGGACCACACTCATCGTTGCTATTGGTCCAAAGCTCATACTCCACACGCTCATCAGGGTGAGGCATGGACTCTCGCCAGTCGAGCCTAATGGTGACCTTATCCCCTTTGTCCAAGGCCTTTCTTAGGGTGTCTCCAACAGATCTCTCGATGAGGGCAGAGGGTATATTGATTTTCGATACATAGTTCTTGGCTTCATGGTCCTCTTCAGGGGAGTCCATGGTTATTAGGGGCTCATCTTGGTCGTCTGCTACAAGGACAGCAGCTGCACCGGCTTGTTGCGCATTCCACACCTTTAGTGCAAAGTAGCAGCCTGGAATGGCATGCAAAGAAGATGAAGAAGGGGAATGTGTGAGACAGTGAGAGACTACCGGTTCAAAAGCAAATAGCATACTAATAATGCATATATGGAGAGAGAGAGAGATGAATTTGAGAATGGGCCCAAGGCTGTGGTCAGGGTGGTGGGTGCCACAACGTGACATCTTAGGTTCAATTCTCACCAGATCCCAGGTTAACATTCAAAACAGAGAGAGAGAGAGAGAGAACAGATCCCAAGTTAACATTCAAAACAGAGAGAGAGAGAGAGAGAGAGAGAAAGGCAAGCTAGCATGCTGAACCGACACACCATAGGACGAAAAGAGAGATTATGTTTGAAAGAAAACCGGCAAATTCCAAAGTAAAGTAGGAACCTAAGGCAGGAAAATGAAAGTGTGAGCAAATTCCAAAGCAAGTATACAAGGTGGATGAAGAGAGAGATATTGTGTGATAGAATAAGGTAAAGATTGTGTGAGAGAATAAATTGAAAATTTCCCAACTGCCCAAGATAGACCAAAATCCATTTGTAAACATCCAATTCAAACAAAACTTTGCCATAGAACCAAAACCAACATCTAAAGTACAAAGTTTTGATTTAATTGCACCATTTCAACCATATCCTCAGTGTAAAAAGTGATCCAAACAAATGTATATATTACCATATCTGGCTAGAGAAAAGGGCGATGAACGCAACAGAAAACAATAGGGAAATTTTGAATGAAACTTGCATACATAAGTGCAACAGATTGTGCATCTTAAAATTCACAGGAAAAATACATCAAAAGTGGAAATCTGAACAGAAGTATCATTGACTTCATTAACAGATAGCCCAAATGGCGAAAAACCAATATGCAATTTGGCATTAGAAAAGAAAGACCAAGCAATTGAAATCGAAAAATAAAAAAGAGAGATGAAGAAATCATCCAAATAGGCGAACATGCAAGACATGGGAGCAAATCGCCAAATGGAGACATCAAACACAAATTGTATGAAAAGAAAAAACTTTGCAGAAACATTAGATCATCATAAACATGCAACTGAAAAAGCATCCAAATGAGAACAAAATCTTAAAAGAGGATGGCCCATATTTAAGTACAAAAAATAAGAATGTCAAGGTCGATATGGGAACAGTAAAATTAGCAAGCAAGAAAGTCAACCAAATTCTCAAAGCTCATAGACATCAGCTCCTACGGAAACAAATGGAAATTTTTTATAGGAGAAGAACATAACATACATAGAGAGTTGAAGCTAGAAAGAAGAGCAGAGAGACACTACCCAAAAAGGTCAAAAACAAAATTTAATAGGGGAAGCGCACAAGAGAGGTTCAAGATCAGAGATGAAAACTATCCAAAACAATAAAACAGAAAAATTGAACAGGAGAAGTGTGTGTGAGAGAGAATTTCAGAGATATCAACTACCCAAGATGATAAAACAGTGAAATTTGCATGTAAGAGATGACAGAGAACACACACCAAAGATATCAACTACCCAAGAAGATAAAACAGAAAAATTAGCTTGAAAGATACATACAGAGAGAGTAATTCATCCAAAAAAAAGTACAGAGAGAATTCCTACCACCACGGTCTACTAATACAACCAGGGGGCGACCAGAAGGGAAAGAGACCCCCAATTCTTGAAAGGATTTACAACCAGATGGTCCCTTTTGTGGGTATAATAAACTCCCAATCAAGGAGGCACCATAGTCAGGGATCCCAAAGTTTCCAATAGCACTGTCATGCTTCCCCCTCAAATTGTGAGGCGTTAATACAGAGATGCTGCTCTTCTCCACCACGAAGCGACCCAAAACAATTTCAAATGAGATCAGAAGCAAAGGAACTAGAAAAAGGAGATTTCTGCGAAAATGGTGGACACCCATTTAAATTTCTACGGCTCTCTAAGCTGTTAATACTTAGAGAGAGAAAGACGGGGAGAATCCCAGGGAAGAAAGAAAATACTAGAGAGACAGAGAGAGATAAAAGAAGAAGAGGAAGAAGAAAAAATATGAGAAGAGGAAGAAGAGCAGGAGAAGAGTTAGACAATTGAAGGAGAGAGAGAGAGAGAGTAGAACAAAAAAAGTACAAAAACAAGAAACTTGGCGGAAAGAGAGAGAGATTTGGAGTCAGGGTCAAGGGAAGTTGTGAATTGAGAGAGAGAGAGAGAGAGGACGACGAAGGAAGAGTAGTAATTTAGAGAGAGAGAGAGAGAGAGTACGAGGTGACGAGTACGAAGGAAGGAAGAGGAGGTAGTTAGAGAGAGAGAGAGGTGTAGAGAGAAGAAGAAGAGGAGGTGTAGAGAGAGAGAGAGTAGTGTAGAG